CCTCTTGGACTGTCCGGGGCCCCTCTGGGGCCGTCTTGGGGCTCTCTTGTGGGCTTCGTGGGCCGTCTTGGGGCGGTCAATGGAGAGTCGGAGGTCGTCAAGGACGGTACGAACGCCAAAAAATCGAATATGGTAAAAATGTACGTTTTACGACGGGCGCGGGGCTATTTTTGCTTCCCTGGGCCGTCTGGGGGGATCTCTTGGAGGGATCTTCGAGCGTCTTGGAGGCGTCTGGGGCGGTCTGGGGCGGTTCGAGACGCCTCTTGAGCCGCCGGAGACCGCTGGAGGTTGTCTTCAGGGTGGCTGTGGGCGGCCTGAAGCCGCCTGGACGGCCGTCTGGGCGCTCCGGGGGGCGACCTGGGGCCCGCCGGGGAGCGGGCTGGGCCCGACGTCCCCCCGTTTGCAGTCGGGGCTGCGGCCCCGGGGCCCCCGGGCCCGGTGCGGCGTTATGTATGTATATATATATATATATATATGTTCCCCATAGGAATGACACGATTTTTGTTTCTTGGACCTCTCTTGGGGTGCCTCTCGAAACGTCTTGGGGTGCTTTTGGGAGCCTTTTGGCGCCTCTTGGCGGCATTTTGGCGCCTCCTGGAGCCTCTTGGGCCGGAAGCTCGGAATTCGAGGTTGGCTTTCTCCGTCTGGGACCCCTCTCGAACTTGTCTTGGGGCTCTCTTGGGCCGTCTTGGGGCCGTCCTGGGCCACTCGTGCGCAGCCTTGGAGCGCTCCCGGAGGCCTCGTAGACCGTCTCGGGCGCCTCTTGGGCCGTCTTGGACGCGGTGAAAGCCCAAGAGGCGAACATGCGAAAATATACGTTTTCCCATAGGAATGGCACGATTTTTGCTTCTTGGGCCTCTCTTGGGCTGCCTCTCGGAGCGTCTTGGAGGCTTCTGGGACCTTCTTGGTGTCATGACAGGCGTCTTGGAAGGCATCTGGAGCCATCGGAGCGCGTTCCGAAGCCGCCTGCGAACGATCTTGGACGGCGTCCGGCGGTCCGACGAGCCTCCGGGCCCCCCGGGGCCCACATTTGCGGTCGGGGTCCCGGCCCCGGGCCCCCGGACCCGGTGCGCCGTTATATGTATATATACACATATGTCTATATAGATATATGCCTTCTCCAATCGTGATATTCCTGGGGATGGCCCCCAACTCGTCAGCACATAGCAATTTTCGGCCCCTGGGCGGCCCCAACACCGAACACAAATGCCCCAAAAATGTTCGGAACAACTCCTGGATAATTCAAACAGTTTCGAGACGGCACCAAAGCGCCACGAGACGCCCCAAGATGGCGAGAAACCGACCCCAGAGATTCCCAGTGCGCTTCAAGAGGGCTCCCACGGGACCCCCTGGGGAGCCCTGAGAAACCAAACATTGCCCCAATCCCTCTGCAAAACGTGCATTTTTAGCACGTGCGCTGCCTTGGTGCCCCCGGCAGTCACAGCGGCCCCGCTGCCTTCCAATGCTTTAACACAGGCTGCACTCGAGTCCAAGATGCGCCCAAGAGAGCCCACGACGGCCCTAGGAGACGCCCAAAGGGCCCAAGACGGCCCCAGGAGACGCCCAAGATGGCCCAAGGAAGCTTCCAAGACGGCCCCGAGCGCCCACGACAGCCCAAGAAAGCCCCGAAACCGTCCTGAAACTCTGAGGCGGCGCCCCACAAAAGGCGTCAAGAGACTTCCGAAAGGCCTCCAACGCTTCATGGAGCTTTGCCGAACGCGCCCGAGAGACTTGCTACCGACACCCATTGCTACTTTTTTGGACTTCGCCTTGCCGTCGCCCCCGCGTGACCCTACCCGCGCCTGCCGCTCGCGCAGCGCCTCGTTCCACAGTGAGCCTTCCTGAGGAGAGCCAAAGCTAATTTTGTTTGGAGTTCGCCTTGGCGTCGCTCCCGTATAACCCGACCCGTGCCTGCCAGAAAATGCGCGGGTCTCTTTCTCCATCTGTCCTGTCGCCCGAAGCCCCCCGAGCACGCCTCCGTTCCTCCGAGGATGCCCCCAGAACCTCTGCGGCCTCCATGTCCTAGCCGTTTCCCTTAAGCTCACCCCCAGCTCACCCCAGAAACCTCAAGCGAGGGATTGCCCTAGCCAGGCCCCGTTCCTACGCCGTTCCCGTGCGCCTCCCCATCGGCTTCCGCCTTGAACCCGCCACTCTGCCTACCCTGGGCTTACATTGAGCCCTCACCCTCAGACACAGGCATGCTCTAGGCTTCCCTAGGTTGCCCCGCGGACCAACCCCGCGGCTCGCCCCTACAACTTTGAACTTGCGCAGCCCTGCTCCTAAACTTTCATCAGGCCTGACACATCGGCTTACTGTAGGCTTACCTAGGCGTTTTCCTGAAGCAGACCCTTGGCTTGCCCCACAGACCTGAAGTTCGGGCTTGCCGGAGGCCGACCCCACTCCCAGCCCTTCCGGTGCGCCTCCCCGGTAGGCTTCCCCCTTGGGCCCGCCCGCTTGCCTACCCTGGGCTTACCTTTCAGATTTTCCCGTGGGCTTAGCTAGGCTTGCCCCTAGGGTGCACCCCGAAGATTCTCTTAGTGAGATTCACCGTGATTGCACCCTTATGGTTGACCCCAGACCTGCTATAGCCCTACTCCAAGGCTATTCGCTAGGGTCCCTACGCCTCATGCTAGACCTTTCTCGTAGGCCTGCCCCTCGAGCCTCTCGAAGCGCTTGCCCTCGGCGTTCGCCCAGGCCTTCCCTGGGCTAGGGCCTCGCCCTAGCGCTTCCGATCGTCACCAAGACATGCTCCCAGAGACTCCACAACCCTGACCTTCCATAGACCTACCCCTGCCCTCCTCTTAGGATCCCTTGGCCTCCCCGTGCGCTGACCCTAGGCTTTCGCCCAGTCCTGCTTCAGGCTTATGCCTAGAGCTTCTCCCTGGAGCTTCTCCCTAGAGCTTCCGACTTTTCCAAAACATGCTCCAAGGGACTCCAGATCTCGCGGGACCACCGCCAGGCCCATTGAGACACGCGAGGGAGGGGGACTTCGCACAGAGGCCAAGCGACTTTTGGGAGGGCGTAGGCATGTCAGGCAAAATCTCCACATTGACATGTGTTTCCCGTCAGTGGGCCAACCTTGACTCGGCGCGCGAAGCGCGCTCTTAAAACCTTGTATATGTAAATGCATGGTTTTGCTGGCACTAGCATTGGCACTTCGCGCCATCGACCTTGGTCCATGAAGTTCGGGATGCAGGCAGAAGGGCAGGAAGGTACAGCATAAACTTTTGCGATAACTCCTTGTTGCCTTTTCCGACGTCGTCGTTCTACTAGTGTTATTCATTCTCATTCGTTCATGTTTCCTCTTCCTCCTCCTCCTCCTCCTCCTCCGCCTTCTCCTCCTCCTCCCACTCCTCCTCCTTCTCGCCCTACCCTTCAAATTCTCCACCAACCGCCTCAGCTCTTTCTGTGGAGGCTCCTCCTTGGAGAGCCTCTTGGGGGCCTCACGACAATTCCTGCGGGCTTCTTGGGGCCTCCTCGAGGCCTCCCTGGCGCCTTCTCGGGGCCTCTGGAGGCTTCCTCGGGCCACCCTTCGAGCATTTTGTGTCGGTGGAGGGCAAAGGTTGAAATCAAAAAAGCATGCCGTTTCGATGGATTTTCTCGAGGCCTGAATCTGCAGAAGGTGAATCACAAGACGGATTGATCTTCGAGGCGCAAACGCCCATATAGATTTCACCCTGAGCCCTCCAACCCTATGAAAATGCTCAGATCCTGTTTCCAACCGCGTCTGAGCATCGTTTAACAGATCCCCATCCCAAGCGGCGTGGCCTGGGCCCCACTGGCCGATTTACCCCCCTAGATGGGGATATAGGCCGTCCCCTTCGGGTTTCGAGGGGTGTATCCCCAACTGGGGTGGTAATTTGGTGGGGGTCTCGAAGGAGATGGGGATGGGGATGGGGATCGGAAAAACGATACCGACTTCGAGGTGCAAAAGCCCCTTATGGATTTCACCCTGAGCCCTCCACCCTAAGACAATACTCAGACCCTGCTTCCAACCGCCGGAGCAGCCGGGCCACGACGGCCAGGGACAAAAGCAAGGACCCCTCGCGGGCCCTCCCAACAAATCGGCCCCGGCCCAGTGCAGGACTGGGCCGAGACGGCCCCGACATGCGATACCCCTGTCGGTCAAGATGATCCAGCAGAGAAGAGAGCCGGGGTGGCCCGTCGGAGGCCCTGCGGAGCGGTGATGACTGAACCATGAAGCCGTCGTGCAAAAAAGCGGGGTCCTGGCACCATGAAGGACGAGGATGAGGAGGATGAGGAGCAACAGTGGCACGACATCAGCACAATTGCACAATACACATGGCGGGCTCCGGAAACCCCGAACCCAAAAACGTTGTCATCTCTTGCCTGGCACCGCTCGGACGTGTGCACTTTTTGTCTCGGCGAGAACCATCGGGGACCATCCTGGGCCATCGAGCCCCAAAAAACACGCACGAAACCGACACACGCACGGGCAGTGGACGTCCGAGCGACGGCAGGCTTCGGGGGCGCCTCCCTTTTGCCTCCGCTGGCTTCCGCCGCCCCTCCGCCGGCGGAGGCGGCCTCGCCTCACTCCCGCGCCGGCCTCCGCCGCCCCGCCTTCCGCCGCCTTCCGCCGGGGAGGCGAGGAGGAACGACGCCTCCGTCGGCCCCCGCAGGCGAGGCCCCTCGCGGGAGCGCTCCGCGCGACGCCGCATCTGGACGACGAGCTGCCTCACGGAGCGCAGGCACGCGCTGGCCTGCGCAGAGATCCAGGCCCCTCCCGAGCACGCCTCTCGCCTGCTCGCGTCTCCCGGCCCAGGCCCTGATCTACAGGTAGCTCGCCGTGCGTCCTCCACCACGGAGGGGCTGGTGCATCCAATGCGAGCAGGTGGCCTTGAAACGCAGGGGCCATGCCTTCGAGACGACGCCACCATGGGGACAATATGTGGACCCCTAAAATAAATCTGTACATGACACTGGCGTCATGACAGCAGATCATATCTTTAGGATGTCTCCCGCAAATCTCGCTAAAATCGATGTCGAAGACGGGGGGCAGGAGGATAACGAGCAGCCCTGGCACAGCCTCTGTTGCACTGCATTGTGCTCTCATTTTTTGGGGGGTGTTTTTGTTGCCCTCCCAGGAGAGTGCCACGTAGACCCAGGACGCAAGACTGGCACGGCGACAGCAGGTGCGCCCGACGAGGGCGGCCAGCGCTCCGCACAGGCATCGACGGACAGGGGCATCCAGGTGCACCACGGGGAAAGGGACGAGGAGGACGACGACAAGGACGAGGAGGAGGGAGTGCAGTGTGACAGAGAAAGAGAGAGAGAGAGAGAGAGAGACAGAGACATGTGCGATAGAGAGAGAGAGAGAGAGAGAGAGAGAGGGCGAGAGAGAGCGAGAGAGCGAGAGAGAGAGAGCACCTCGAGTACCCTACAGCGTGACCAGCACTGTGCGCAGAGGCGGCGCCAGCATGCCCTCGGTGTCTGCTTTCCTTTGCTGGGAGGAGACGCCCGCGCGCACTCGGTGGAACTTGCGCAGGATGTGGCGGCGCTGCGTCCGCGAGATCTTATGGGACCCAGATTCGGCTGAATTGAGCTCGAACTTTCCATGCTGCGATGAGCTTGATTGAGCCCGCGTGTCATCATACACGTTTATGTGCTCCAGCCCGGGAGGTGGGCGCAAAACCACCCGGGGCATCAGAACTCCGAGCTGCTCCTGCATCTGCATCGCGCGACGCTCTGTGCGGGCACCCGTACCTCTGACTGATACAGCTTTCGCCGGACTGGCTTGAACCAGAATGACTTTGGAGCCCCGAGGATTCTTCCTTCCCATCGCGGGATCCGAACGGGCGATGACGGTGGCTCTTGAGCGAACGGCTTACGCTCCAGCCGTCCCAGATTGCGCCAGGCACACGCGCCCACCCTGCATACATTTCTCCCAGTGCTCACGCATCTCCTCTGTCCTCGACGTTTCGTCTGCTCTTCTGGCTTTCTTATCTCACTCCTCGTCCTCCCCCTCCTCCCTCCTCCTCCTCCTCCTCCTACTTCTCCTGATTCTCATTGTCCTCGTCTCCGTCGTCCTCGTCCCTCCTCCTACTCCTTCCCATCCCTCACAACCCGCCGCCCTGTGGCCTGGCCGTGGTAAGGCAGGCGCACCCGTGCATCACAGGCGGCGACTGGAATATGAGCGCAGCAAAACTAGAGGCTTCGTCACTCACCGTCGACGCACAGGTGAGCATGACCATGCCGAACAAGATCACCAGCCGCGCGGCCCAGGCGAGTGCCACCATCGACTGCCTCAAGCTTGGCACGGCCGCCATGAGGCTGGTCAAGCTGGTGAAGGTAGACAAGCGGGGCGCTCCAGAAATGGAGAGCAGAACATCCACCCTCATGATAAGCACCCCGACAGGCGAAGCCGCTTAGTCAACGCACCCAGGGAAGGAATCGAACAGGGCAGGGCTGTTTAGTAAATGCCCGGGGCCGTTCAGTCAACGCCAATGATCGGGGTCGGGGTGGTTTTTCCTCCCCTGAAGAAAAGGCCTCACATTCGAGGGTCGAGAGAATTGACGTCTCTTCCCCAGCGGAAGGGCGGCGAGAGGCCGGTGAAGGTCAGGCGAGAGCGGATCCGCTGGCGGAGGCCCGCGAGGGTGTCCAAACAACGTCGGCGATGCGGCCTCCCAAACCCGTGATGCTCTGGGGTTCCGCGCTTCCTGAGCGGGCCAAGTCGTGGGCCATCCATAGGGAAACGAAAGATGACATAAACATAATCACTCCGAGGTCCGCGCGGATTTCCCAGATCCGTGCTGGGCCACCCCCAGCGGCGCCTCCGGCGCCGCCCCTGGCGCGCTCCGCGCGCCAGGGAAAGGGAGGTCTCGCGCCGATCGGAGAAAGCCACGCGGGCTTCCGAGCTTTTGTGCTTATGTCAGTGTTTGTCCCCCTATTCAAGAGTATCGTTTAACCAATCCCCATCTCCAGCGGCGTGGCCTGGGCCCCACTGGCCGATTTACCCCCCTAGATGGGAATATAGGTCGTTCCCTTCGGGTTTCGAGGGCTGTATCCCCAACTGGGGTGGTAATGTGGTGGGGGTTTCGAAGGGGATGGGGATGGGGATTTGTTAAACGATACCGAAGTCCAGCCGAGTGAGCCAGCGGACCTGGAGCGCACAACCCTCGGCGACGAGCTCGGGCGCCTGACGTGCACAGGTGGGCACGGGCTCCCTGTACTACCCAGGACGGTCGGCCCAGGTGCAGCCTGAGCGAGGAGTGGGAACAGGAGCTACCTTCTGCGCATGAGCGGATTCGTGTCCACACATGGTTTAGGAAGCAACTGCTGGGTGGCCTTCGCCGGAAAGATTAAGGAGGATTAGGCCCCATTGCGGGGCTGTTACGCCAAAGTGGGCTTCGGAGTAAGCGGGACTAAAGCCAGATTAAGCTGGATTAAGCGGGATTAAACTGGACTAAGCCTGACTTCTGACCAGAGCAAAATCAGAATTTGACCTCCCAAGAGTTGCATCCGAAGGTGGTCATGTTGATGCGGCTTCGCGCATTCTCTCGGCACCAGGTATAAGTTTGCGACGAAGGCAACAGCGCATCCTCGTCAGCTGACCGTAATCTTCACATGAGAGACTACGCCGAACTATAGATTGGTGGGCCGGTTGCGGAGGCAGTTGGGAATTAGGCGACTGCCGATGGTTGGAAGTAACTCTCAAATGGGGTTACTTGTTTCGCGACCCCCGTAGCTATCCAGCACGCATCAAATGAGCTCGCACTCTGTGACGAGATCGAAAGCTTCCCGACAATGCACTAAGTATGGGGATGGAACGAGACATCGTCTGGATGCCATGGTGGCACAAGCTCGCCGACTTCTAGCAGAAACCTCCACGTTCAGATAGACTCCGCACGAGATACTGCAAGATCGCGACGAGGACGTGCAGGCAATCAACTCAAAGGCTGATCGAGAGAATAATGCTCGCTGAAAGGTCGGGTGCCACAATGTTAGCGAGAATGGACCAGGGACGGGAAAACCTGCGCTGACTGGGAGCCCCAATCGGCTTGGCCGAGCTCATCTAAAATCAGTGGAGTGCCCATCGCATCGGCAGGCGGTAACACCGTGGAGCTGCCCCAGGGATTCACATGATGGGCCACCAGCTGGCGAAGGCTGCACAGGTGTGGCAATTCATGCCCATGTTGTTGAAACACCCGATCTATACATCACCCTCCACCCCCTGGATTGCGTCTCGTCCTGCATAGAGAGGACACGTCAATCGGGATGGACAGCTGCATGAAAGATACCGGCATACAGTTGGCGGTTGCAGCGTTCGTGAGCAGCTCCAATGGTAGATTGCGACCATGACCAATGTCGACCAAGAGTCCATCAGGAGGTCTACTGCGTATCTTGGAACCGACTACGCTGGTGGCAGGGTAAGATGAGCGACGAGCTCTCGTGGCAAGCCCCTGGCGAGACGGCAAAAACACCAACGAAGGCTGAAGAAACTCTGGAAATTTAGGCGTGCTATGACAGATCTACAGTATGAGCGCGCGGTCGGCCTGTACATACGAGCATGGATGTGAACAGCATGCACGATAATGAGCTGGCTCAGTTCCTCAGGACCTAAAACAAACACATCATGTCAGACCATGGGGGGGGTGCCCGCAGCAGAGAAACCGGTGCTTCGCAGAGATCCTGCCGTCTGACAGACAAGCCCTGGCGCATACACTTCAATTGAGTCGAAAGGTGTGGACTGCTATTGCACGACCTCAACATGCGATAGTTAGTTGACCGTTCTAGGGAAACGGTGGACGCGTGCTGTCACGAACTTTGGCACAGTCGCATCCTCGTCAGCTGCCCGAGGCTCATTACGACAAGCGACGCCTTGTGCAGCAGTGCGAGCGGGCGGGCAAGTGTTTTTTTTGTCACAGTGTGTCTGAACCGCCGCGGCAAAAAGTACTGCTTGGTCAGGAAACGCCAGGCATGCTGGAACAACTGATGGCACAAAAACTCAGTCTGCAACACGGGTTGGCCATTGTTGAGATGTGAGGTTTCCCAATCAGCATCCAAACATCATTGGACCTTCTTCGAGACAATGTGGGAAAACGCAATCGACGACACTATCGGCATCATGTGTTTTGCACTCAGAGCTGCGCGTGTGACGGCATCGGGACTCACGAACGGGTACGGCAGCGTGGGTAAGTCACATGTGACGAATGCGATTGCGGACTCCCTGGTACGGTGGCCCCTACACTGGCATGATGCACCAAGCCCCAGGCCATCACATGTGCTTCGCGTTCGCTGACGACGGTCTCCCAGGGATGCATGCATGCGATCAGGCCTCCACCGTCGATAGAGATGGCATTGACGGCGCCGCGCAGACCATGGTGGGATCAGTTGTAACCGAAAGCGTGGCAGAGACCGAGTTCGCGATCGACGGCTCCTGCACCAAGCACTTGCTCCTGGATCCTCAACGAGCAGGATGGGCGCTCATCTGCTGGATCCAGAGTCAGCGAAGCAAAGGTGGCTCATGCATGTGCCTGTCCCTGCCAGCCTGTAGCCGAGTACCTGTCCTAAGCGTTCGTTGGGCAGGTCGGTGAGCCCACCACCATCCTCCGTGCTGGCTTCGTGGGCGTCGTCTACGCCGCGAGGACAAAGCAGGAACAGCTCGCCTCGCGCTCGATCCACGACAGCGGGTTGGGCGTCGGGCGTTCGCTTCTGGGCTTCGACTTCATCATATAGGTTAAGCACTTGAAGGCCCACAGGTCAGGCAAGGCGCAAGATACTCCCGATGTCCGCATCAAGCGCATCACGGACGGCAACGCTGTCGAGATGCACTCGTCAGTGGCCCCTCACTTCGCGGCGGAGCTGGAGCAGGCCTCACAGAGATGCGCGGAGCCCCTTATCCGTATTCGAAAAGGAGCAGGAGCAGTGGACGAGCCGGTCGACGGACTTCCGAAAAGTTCGGAGAACGAGGTAGGAAGTGTGGCACCACTGGGAAGATACCATGATGGGCAAACACTGTCGGAAGTGCCAGTGGCTGCAATCCCTGGAGGTGAAGTGCACTGGACGGACTGTTGTGCACGCCTATCTTCATGCAGGACTTGCTGTAAGAACCTATTAGCTACCAGCGAGGTGTTCTACGCAATGGAGTCACAAACGTAGCCTCCATCTCCATGTTCGTGTGTGTTGCTTCTGGGCTTCGGGCGCAGAAAAAGCCACGCAACCCGTGCATAGTGCCGAATGCTGATGGCGAGATGATTGGAAGTACCCGCTCACCTGCGCCCTCACATACAGTTGGCCATGCGCAAATCAGATACGACGGTGCCGCTGAAACAGCTTGTTGCAGACTGCTTCCCGACCCGAGGTTTCGCCGGCATCACAGTCGCAAGGCCCGACCCGAACGTCACCACGAGCCTCGAGGCAAGGATGGCTGCACTTCGCCAGCGTATCAAGACCAAGGAGCTGACTTTAAAATCAGCCGCCGATGGCGCCAACGCCTTTCTCGGGCGGAGCTCCTTGGCGAATGCGGCTACTGACGCGACACAGATACGGAGTGCGAGGAAAATTGCAAGCCGTGGCGGGATGCAAAACCTACGGGCCCCGCTGCGAGGAGGGCCCCTCCAGCCCGCCCCCGTGCTTCGGCCCAGGCAAGGTGGCTGCAAGGACCCAGGGGGTCGGCCTCGCTCGCCAGGTGCATCTGATCACTGCACCCTGTGGTGCCGCGGGAGGGGCCCGAATTAGCGTGGACATCACTGAATGCGCCTAGTGCTGGAGACGGCCGGGGGGTGTCTGAGCTGGATGAGCCCAAAGGAAATCCGCCAA